CATTCCCTTTTAGGCTCATGTGCTTCATAATATGTTTATCTTAAACTTTTCTGTCAAGATATCAGAAGTATGTGGCTCTGTGTGCCCGGCTCTGCATGTTTCACCCTGGCTCTCAATTGCAATGACCTGCTGTCTGAGTGACAAACACAGCAGATGCTGACATTATCAAATGCTAAGTACTTGTCGTCCCCCTTGCTTTTGCCCTGTTATGGCTCTTAGATGAGGTGAGTAGCCTGAGCACCTGACTCTGAGTGACTGAGTTAGGCATGAATGTGCATGTGTGTATGTTACAAATAGACCTGCCTCTGGTGTGCCATGTCAAAGTGGCCTTATGCTGACCTCCATCCCGTCTACAAGCAGTGGTGTATATCCCTCAGCTGTCGCTGGCTAACTCGTGTCTTGGCAGAAAACATTATCAATTATAGGAGCTGACTGTTTCATGGCACCCTAAAGAAAATCAATGTCAAAAGAACAATAATAATAATAACGGAAAACATTTAGCCGAGCAAGGGCCAAATTCACTTAGCTGTGTCGAAAGTGCAAAGATCAAAGTAAGATGGCAACTTTGTTGGAACGCACGGGTGCTATGTGCAATTTATTGTCAGATTTAAACAACCATAACTTAAATATTTGTTCAAAGGGAGTAACAATCTCTGGAGTTAGCAATTTAAAAAATACTGTCACCTATTTTATTTCCATCTGGTTCCAACTGATTGTCAAGATGTGATGCTTCACATAAAACATGACTTTTTAAAAGTACTATACAACAATAGAGGGTTGTAAGGGGCATAAAATAATATGCTACAGCCACCGTTCACACAGTAGCCTTCTTTCCAAATCAGTCCCAAGGACTTAAAAGACTGGTTTAATGAATGCTGTGACTTGACACCCCTGAGTGCTGCTGTAGGAAGTATGAGTGAGAGAGCTTGTATATGCAGTTATGCCACTGCATTTGTCTGTTGGCCATCTCTGTGACCACAGCGGCAGCTTGCTTGCAGCAGGGCCCATCTGTCACAGTCTGTAATTGCTTCATGACTCCAGGACATTTGACTCAAGTGCACTGCCACAGATTATTATGATCCTTTTCTCAGGGAACATTTTTTCCCCACTCTCTGAGAGGGGCTAGCATAAAACTTGAAAAGATAGCAAGCTGGATAAATAGACTGTCTGCGAGGCAGCAAAGGAGGATCTTAGCAAAGGGTGCCCAACTGTAGCTGTGCATTGATGATGTGGTGGTAAACAGCTGGTCGGTGCTAAAAAAAACAACCTGGTTGTCAAACGTTGGAGGGGATATCTGTGAACTGCAAAATAAAGAATTTAAAAAGAAAAATAAGGAAGAACTGTCCATTCCAACCACAGGAAAGATTTTTCTTTTCTGATCAGCCACTGATCAAGTCCGAGAAAGCTATTCCAATGAATGTCACTCCAGTGTCCACATAATCTTAGCAAAACTTGCTAAAAAGAAAACTTTGATGAGATACATTGTGACTCAGTAAGCAGCGCTTGTGCTCAACATTGATCCCACAATGCTTTGCTAAAGCTGGTAAAATGGAACCAAATCACCTCTTGAATGGATTTGGTCCCCTTCAACCAGCTGTAGCTATGCTTTGATGACTACAGGAGACCGTTTTATCATGATGTTTTAAACAACACAAACAGCAGGCCATTTACTGATGATGAATGATGTATAACTTTCCCTCTACCCGCAGCATCTGGAATGTTCACTGTCTGTAATATTGAATGCTGAACCTGTATCTCTATTATAACAAATAAAGAAACCAATCCCTGCCTCTAAACTGTTGTCTGGTCCCCTTTCGTGACTGTGTGTTACCTTTTCTGACCAGGCGATAAACAGCTGTTTCAAAAGCAGCAAGGAGGGGCAAGCAGGAGGTGCTATTTTAGAATTGCAGCATTCGTGTCCGTGTGAGAATGTACAGCTGTCCTGCTATCACACTTTCAAAATTGACTGTCACTGGATGTTAGTAGTTAATTACACTGTGGGTGGAAATAAACAAAGGAAAAAACATTAAACAAGATAGCTGATGAGGCTCAGCAGTGTTATAAATGTAATGAAATGTAAACAGCTCGTACAATGAATATAATTCAACAGTGCCAGAACTAAAAAGGGGAAAATCACTAACTAAAACTCCCTAGCCTCTCTCCCATAAAGATTCCTTTAGTGATGCTAGAAGAGCTGGGATATGTGAGATGCAGAAGCTCTGTAACACAGAACCTGACTACATAAAAAACAGAACAAGCCATCTCGAAAAGATTCCAGATCGTTTGACTGTGACAAGCAAGCAAACTATCACATCAAGATAAAGTTTCTTTTTAATTTGGTGCCTTCCTTACCACCTTTCTTTTCACCTCCCACGTTCTTTTGCTCTCCTTAATATTCAACGCAGCAGTATTAAAAACTATTTCTTGTAGACAATGTTTGAATGTTTGACCCTTTTTAACTTGCATATTAGACCTATAATGGGGATTTAACATATGCACTTATCAATCAATCAACCTAACTAAATGTTATCCAGAACCGTGTAGCAAATATTAACTTAGTAAATGATGATTTTCAGCCTTGCTAAAAATAAAAAATAAAAAATCTGAAATGGGAAAACAATGGTATCAATACTTTTTTCAATCAATGCCGAGCACACTGAAAAGCTTCTGGAAAAGCAAAAAAAATCACCCGTGTCAAATGATCATGATCTTCATGGGCTTGCAACTCAATTTTTTATGATCACTATTATCATTTTACCATGATGTTTCTGCCGGTTAGAACCGACATTATCTTGGGGAGAACTTGTCTGCAGCACAGTGTGAATGCTTGCAGATCTCTCCAGCTCCTCTTGTGGGGCAATTACTGTATGGCTTTTGCCTGTATGAAGCCATATTAAAAGAAAGCTAAGAACTACATGGGAAAGGGAGGAGGGCAAATATTACAAGGAGGTGACACGTAACAGGGTACAGGCAGCCACTGCAAGGCTTGTTTGGAGCCCATTTATGAGTCATGGGCTATTAATCGTATTGTTTACAGTACTGTAGCAGCTACTGGCTTCTAGCAGCCTAAAGGAAAGACACAGAGATGAGCCAGGCTCGGCTTGCAGGCTGGGGTTGTGATAAACACACAAGAAGAACACAAAAGGTGGATCTTCGGGAAAATGCGGAACCTGGAAATGAGCTTCAGGTTACCAGCAATGGTTAAAATTAACAAGGTTTGATTTATGGGATAATGCTTTTATACACTGTAGCTATGTGGATATAAATAATCAACAAGGTAAACCTGTAATACCCCTTCAGATTATGCTATTCCCCTGTGGATTGAGTTGATTTCTCTCAGCATCTAAGACTCCAAGTTGAAAGATTCATCTGTCACCCACAGGGCTCCCTCCTAAGCATCTTCTTCAATCTTGTTTCCATCACCGTGAGGCCAACCCACCCTCTTAAAACACCCAAATAAATGACACGCATACCAGGAAATCTTTTCCTGTTCTCGAAGAGCTGACCAACAGTAGATTTACTGTTTTTTTTATTTGCTTATACCTTACAAGCCAGAGTAATGTGTATGAAATATAAACCGCAGCAGATCAAACTTTAAAAGTTACCCCCACTATGTCTCTGATTGGCTTCACGTGAGGCACATTAAATAGAGCCCTATAAACACTTATTGACAGTCATCAAAGGGTACATCTTATAAGTATGATCCTGGGTTCATAATTCTACAAAGCACTCAATCCCAACATCTCCTTGTCCACAAACACACTGCATGAGGTACTTTCACTTGAACCTAGGGAGGGATTTTTGAGAGCTTTAGGACTTGTGGACTCCTTTCCTGATATTGCAGGAGCTCAAGCGTGAAATAAAAGTAAATGGGCAGACTGGAGATGGTGACATATATCTTTGTTTCTCAGAAAGCGAGAGGACAGTGTGGACTCAGGCAGGCAATGCACACACACAACAGAACAGGGGCCCTAATACAGAAAATGCTTAACTCCAGCACATTCCGCCGGTAAATCATGGAGTCCTACAGCAGTCCAGCTTTGACTGTGTACTCTGAAGCCTGGTGTGCACATACAAATTACGAAAGACCTGAGGTGGATGTAAGAGTTTACTTTGATTCAAGGTTAAAAGCTGGGCGAAGAGCAACAGCCATGTAATTATTTGTTTCTGCGTGTCATTTAGTATTTCACCTGTGTGAACCGTGTGAAATTGATCAATGTACTAAACAGCAAACTGACCTGTTTTAATCATATCCCCTGCAAAGTACCAAGTCGGGTTAATTAGGACACTTAACTGACCAAAGCATTTTACACCAAAAATAGAGCAGAAGAAAATAAATCAGATGGCACAAACATTAATACACAAATCAGTAGTGGAGGGTCGACTCTGTCCTGGCTTGTGGAGGAAGACCCATAGCCCCCTGATCTAAATTGTAATTCAAATGCTAAATCTAAGCATAACTTGGGACAATCACAGTCAATCCCAAACATGCAAAAACACTAAAAATACCAAACAGCTGCTCTTAAAATTTTGCCAAATTTGTATCTTTCACCCTGGTCATATAACTTTGACATCCCTCATGTTAAAAGATGCTGAATGATCCGCTTTTAAACAGACGGGCCAAGTGCGCAGTCTTATTGATGATTATGAACAATCAAACAGTCTAGAGCACAACTGAAAGCTACAAGCTTTTCGGCACAACTGGCTGTGGCCAAGTATGGTACACATGCATGCTGTGTAGAGTCCCTCATACCAGATAGTAAGGTAACAACAAATTAATCGGAGGATGAGGTGAGAAAACAACAATAATGCAAACTTATTAAATAAACATAGTGAACTAAATCCAATGTGATTTGATGACTCGGCTTTGTTGAGAGCACAGCACAGCATTTGATGAGATGCCAATAAAACTGCCTGCCGTGTTCACTTAAACATGTCCTCATTACTTGCAGACAGCAAAGAGGTGTGACAGCTAACAGCAGCAGCAAAGTGTCGCTTACCTCGGGTTTCCACGCAGGGCAGCATGATGCAAAGCATTAAAGCCATTATTGTTGGTGATGGTGACGTCTGCACCGGCCTCAAGCAGCACTGACAGCATGTCATCTCTCTTCTTGCTAATGGCATCATGCAGAGGTGTGTCACCCTCCGAGTCCTATGAAGGGAAATACTGTGTTATTTTTTAGCCTTTATCTCATCAATAAAGACCGTGTCAAACGTTTTTGCTCATCTCACCGGTAACCAAATGTGCTCATCTGGCATTTTAAAATAGGTAAATAAGTTAAAGCGATGAATACCTGAAGACTGGGGTGGCAGCCAAAGTCCAACAGGGTTTTAACCACCTGTAAATGACCCTTGTTGACAGCTATGTGTAATGGAGTCTGCCTCCGCTTGTTTCTGGCATTCAAGTCAGCACCACCCCTCTGCAGCACCTCAATGACAGAGCCCTCATCACCGAAAGCTGCATGATGCACCGCCCGGTCTCCATCTTTGTCCTGCAAATAGCAACGCACGTGCAATGAGCCAATGACTTGATTCTAGTAAAAAGATTAGGGAAAAGGATTCTGTGCCTAAGTTATACCAACCTCAGCCTCTAAATCCACATTGTGTTTAAGGAGAAGCTTTAGGACATCTACATGACCGTTTTGACTGGCTGCCTGCATAGCAGTATGTCCAGCACACTGTCCATTCACCTGCAAGCACATCGGGAGCCACAGAGAACACAGACACATATCAACATTATGGTTTCATTTCCGCCGATAAAAAAATATATATTCTTGGTGAAAAAAATGTAAAAAGTCATTTGTGAAGGTGTGTTGTGTAGATGTGCGTACACTGCTGGGCATGCATCTTTTATCACCAAGTGCAGCACAGCAAAAACCGAGAATATAAATATTAATGTGGACTCCTTTGGGAGTCTCAAGACGACTCTTGTCCTGGCAGCCAGATCACTTGGCCAGGCACAGTGTTCTCAGCTATAAGCATATAATTCCACTGAAAGGCAACAGGGCATCTGGCCAGCATTTACTAATGACACACTCTCATTCACTCACTCTTCTTCGGACTGAAGGCTGTATTGCAGACTTGACGTAATGATCTAAAACAACCTGTACGAGGCATCAGTTTCTGGCCTGTACAAAATGTATGAAGTACAACTACTGATTTTTTAGGTCTCTACTTGAAACTTAGAAGGAATCAGGATGCCTCCTCTGGGCCCGGCTTAAATGTTTTTCAGACTGAGAGAGGTGTATGGGTGGAATGATCTTAGATAAGTGTCCTGGGAGAATGCATCTATATAGTAAACAGAACAGAGAAGGGCAAAGCCCGAGGCGTTTCAACACCCCCTCTTTAACGTACACAATCTTCTGGGTATGTTTAATGAGAAAATAACTTTGTCTTGATAACAACTTTAGAATTGGATTAGGTGAAGAACTTATTTTGGAGCACTTACATCCACCTCAGGTCTCTTAAGAATGTCCTCCACTTTTGTCAGGTCTCCATTGGCCGCAGCCTTGACCAGCTCCTCGTTGATGTCCCCAGACTCTTGTGTCTCGAACAATTTCTTCAACAACTGAGACAGACGCTCTTGGGAGGGAGATTAATTGTATATGAATGCATAAAAAAATCAAATGCTGCTCCAATAAAAAGGGAGCGGTCACCAGAAATAACTGAAATGATGTTTTCTTGGTACCAGTCACACATACCTCCAGAGGCATTACTGACAGCAGAGCCAGAGGGGGCGATCTTTGTGACAGCGGCAGGATTGTACGTCCAAGAAGTCCCACAAACCTCGACCTTCAGGTCACTGTCGGAGTAAATCTGCTGCACACGGCCTACCTTGCCCAGGGTCTGTTCACACATGTTATGAGGAACTGATGAGTATAGGAAGGATTGTTGGAGGAATTGTGTGCTTAACAGTCTTTTAGTAGTGAGTACGAATAAAAAGAGACTAAGATCAAGAGCCAAATAAGCAGAGGTTAAAGGAAAGACCAAATCAAAGTTCAATCAAGTAACTTTCCTAAAAAGAATAGCAACTGTTCTGTCCGGAAAAAAAAATAGGTATTAGAAATGAAAGCAGTGTTCTCGGCAGTAAGACGACACAAGAAAAATGACGGACATATAAGAAATACTCCCTTCTTACAGTTCATCATCTGCACAGGCAATCTTTTTGGATTGCCAGCAGATGATGCTTTCCAACTCTAAATTATACGATCTCAGTTCTGGCTAAATGGAAAGTGGTACTCTGGTTCTCTGGAGCTGGGTCTGGGCTGCCTGGAGGGTGTCATCAATAACGGGGACTACTGCAGTAGGAGTAGCAGTGGGAAGTAAACAGCCATGGTTGGTGATCAAAGCTACAGCCCATCTCAGGGTTTTAAGGCTCATTAACTGCTGAAGGTGGGGAGTTTGGCAGAGACAAGTGGCATCATGAAGGAAACTCCGGTTACGTAACTTACGGCAAGCTGGGTAACAATGAAAACATTTTTAAATGTAATAACAGCTAAATCGTGATGGGAGTAAGAAGGCATTTTATCACCTTGGCATTGTATTTTCATATTTATGGCAAAATTAATTCCCATTCCCATTTGGATTTTACAAATCAGTCTAAGCAATTGTAATACTCACAGGCAGCATAGCCTCGGCCCACTCTCCATGGCCTCTTTGTAACAGCTTGATGCGGTCAATGTCGTAGCAGATCTGGACCAGGTCTCCCACGTGGAACTGGGAACTTCCCCCCTCTGCACCAGCTGCAACCTCCCCGCTGCGCACCACATTGGCCTTAGTCAGCACTGCTGGGTTAAATGTCCACCTGAGGATGCAGACATTCAGGGACAAAGAAAATAGGAGTTAATCATTCAATTAATAAAACTGACTGCTCAAGGGGTATATTTTGGAGAAACATTTCATTTTCTAGTGAGCAAAAGAGCTATGACTAGAGATTTAACAATATGCGAGTGAAGAAACAAAACTGACAGAGATTAAAACCTTGTCTACCAACATAATAAAAAATAAACCTGTTTATAATTGAGTGATGGACAAACTGTGTTTAAGAAATATCAATCTGTAACGCTACTGCACTAAAACTAAATATCTGCTATTTATATGCATGCTCAGTAGGACAGTTAATATAACTTCTAAGTTGTGATAACAAATCACAAATACATATTTCAAGAAACACATTCCCCCAGTTTTCATTAAATCAATACAAATAATTAGTGTTTCCAAACTGAACAGCTTGGAATCCATTTCTTCATTCAGCTGTTAAAAAGGCAGCCCTTTTAAATATTAAATTAAGCTTCAATAAAGCAATTAAAGATTGAAGGTTTCAGTTTACAGCCCAAAAGAACTTAATCAGGCCTTTTCTTTTTCTTACAATCAGTGTCAGTGTATGTATGACCGTCACAGCCAGAGAAAGAGTACTAGCAATTACAGCACTGAAATGAAGGGGCATAATTAGATTTTGTTTCTCTTTAGAAAATAATTATTACTAATTATTTGAAAACCATAGTTTGAGTTTGCATTGAAGAAGAGGTTTTAATATTTTCCAACTTTTGATGGAAGGAAAGTGTTTTCATAACTCTAATGACAAAATATGGTGATATTGTGAGGCAGTTTTATTAGTCCAAGGCATTATGGGCTACCAATCATGAACCTGTCTTCCAGTTAAACTTGCCTGTTCCCGCTGGGGTACTGAACCACAATGTCGTGATCCTCATCGATTCCACACACTGTGCCTGTGGTAGTGAGCGTCTCAAACATGCCGTCTGTCCAGCCCCCATGGCCATGCTGAAGGGACTGAACAATTTCTAAATCCAGATCAATGTTGACCAGGTCTCCAATCTGAAGACCTCCAGGATTTCTGTTACCATTCTGCTCACCTGGGAGATAAAGGTTACGTTTAAAATTCATCGATAAACTAACTTCATTAATAACACATCTTATGCTGCACAGTCTGAATGTGGCTTTAAATAGAAGTTCAAAATGACGTCTCAGCAAAGCACAGCTGCACCACATGACAGCTGTACACCGAATATATATCAAAATATTTCCATTGCTAATAAACATACTATTTAACCTAAAAAGGATATTTCACTGAAGTGTTACAACTAGAGAGAAGTTGTTCCTGAAATTAGTGGACCACTGAAACTGCATTACCCAGGCTTGTCTCGTGTTTTGGTAGCGGGGTGACTGTAAAATGCTGACATCTAGTGGCCAAAGATATTTAACAAGTAAAACTCTCCTAATGCCCTTGAATTCACTGCACCAGAACAAGAGGTGAGAGAATTGGTGCAATAATGACGATAGACACACATCACTGGCTTACTTACCTAAAACTGGACAGTGGTCTCTGTAAAACGAACCACCCTTGGCATCTTGAACACATTTTAGGTCCGACTGAGAGGAATTAGAAGAGAAAGGAAATGATTAGATAATTACCTACGGTAATTCCATTAGAGGGGCATGTTTATGAATAATCACACAGAGTTGTTATACAATTGAGCTGCAGTGGCTCAAGTGGGTCATAGACGAACACTACGAGTGTCCTTAGGATAAGGCAGGGCAAGGATATAATGTACATCACATCTGTGATGACTCACATGCGCACCGTTGTAGGGGAGGTGGAGGGCAGGGATGATTATAAGGTGGAGCAAACATTCTTACAGAAGTAGTCAATGCAACAACTACCAATAAACAAATGAATTCCTGTCAGTTCCCCTCTACTCAGGACACATTAGTTTGATTACACTTTGATCAGTAAGCAGGCACTTCTTAACAAAAGTAAATCTTTTGCCCCTGTCTGCAGTTTGAATGAACAAATTAAACTGCAATGAAGTGGTCAAGATGGGGGGTCTCATCCATAATTTAATCAGGAGGCAGATGTCATCCACATTTCTTTCAGCCGGTAAGAATAACAAAGGACAAATCTGTTCGTCGCCAGACAAACTCGATTGGCCACGTTTGTAAAAAGGCACGAGCACATTCAGCCAATGAAAGGAAGGCTTTTCATCTGGGAAGCGTGTGTCGTTGTGCCTGCAGCCACAAGAGAGTGTCACCCTTCTCTTAAGTTGACCTCTATGCTCACTTGCTCTCCCTTAATAGCTGGAAGAACAGACTGCCTTTATCATGCAGATACCTTCCCTTTCCAGCTGCCTGCATAATGGTGGCTTACACATGCTTGCTGCGCGGCCCTCACAAAGGCCTGGCCGCGACGGTCAAACACAAAAGCCACCTGACAGCTGATCTTTTATGAGTCTCAGTCTGTGTGGGTATCAGACAGAAGGTGTGGGTCAGACTGAAAGTTTGCTCACCATTCCCTCAAAGCCAACTCTGTACAGATTCTTGGCTCCGTTGTCCCAAAGTACGTAGGCGGCGCTGTGAGGACTCGCTGCGCTCCAATCTTGGATTTCTGTCACCTTAAGGGATAAAAATGAATGAAAAACATATAAAACTCTGAGATTTAAATGGGTAAGGGTAATCAAAATCTAACAGAATTTAATTAAAATAAATTAGACAAACACACCATCAAAATGTATTTCATTTGTTTGATTTTTCTTGCACGAAACAGTTTAAAGCTTTAAGCTGGGCACCAAGTAAAATGACGTATTGAATTGGAGCAACAAATAAGCTCCAATTTTAGCTAAATGGGTTCTCATTTGTAAAACCAGGACGGATACGTCTTCTCCATCTTAAGCAGGACACTGCTTTCATAAACTGGAGTGTGTGTCAAGAGAGGGCTACAGGGGTGTAAATTAATTGTTTAATCAAAGGCAGAGCCTTAAGTAAATACAAAAATCTAACTTGATTTATTTCCAGGCCCCTTCCAGAGTTAAGTGATTAATGGGCCTTAGGAAGTAATATACATGTAAACTTAACAGAGCATCTAAGCTGCAGGAAAAGTAACGGTGATTTTCCAGAAAGCATACTGCTTACAGCATCATAAAACAGTAATAAGATATGCCATTAAATAACACCACAATATGAAGTATTAAGCGGCCTAAAAGGGCTCTTAAATCTAATACTCTGAGGTTTGAATGATAATGAAACACACTTTACAACACAGTTATGGCATTAATCTATAAATCTGCATCACAGAGCATTACAGTCTTTTTCAATCATGTACAAAACACACGCGTTGTGCTGGTTAAACCTGCAGTAAAGCTGTGTAAATGTGAACAGGACTCAGCATGACACCAAAGAGTATGGGCAGATCAGAAAGGTTTTATTACCATTCCCATGTGCAAGATCTGACAAGCACAGGGTATATTCAAGATTTTTTGTGCTAAAACTGGTCTTACCTCTCACAGAACTGATCTTACCTCTCACAGAACAGTGCTGTACAATTACGATTTTTAAGCTTTTGTACATGTTATATGTTGTATGCATTGTGTACTCTTCCTACAAAATAGATTCTGTGTGCACTTAATTACAACTGAAGAGTAGAAAACAATCAGCTGTTTAAAACTAATTTTAAGTGTAAATTACGCTAAAACAGACCAAAGCACAGGTGTGGTGTTCTGTGTGAGTGAACTAGTTTAACTTGACACTGGATGTCATGTGGTGTGACTACAGATCAGACCGTAAAGTCAATACTTAAAACTAATTTTCATGTTGAGCAATTACATGCAAGTACCGGGTATCTTGTAGGATTTATCATAATCGTGGTGGTGGGCTCCCCCCAGGGGGCGTCTCCAGTAACGAGGCCATAATGACCATATCGAACAGAATCTTAACCCTCCTTAGGGTACCTTTCTTTTTCTTTACTCCGGACTGCTGTCTCTAGTTTTCCTACAAGCAACGCACAACTGCAGCAGCTTCACAGACAGGAAGGAGCCGATGGTGTTGATTTTTCAAAGTAAAGTAAATTTGAACATTTCATTATATTTAAATTTCTACGTCTTTGATTATGCTGAGTATAAAAGTGTGAATACACACATACACACACACACACATATTTATATATATATAGGAAAAAAACACTTTATTCTGAGTGGCGGCTTTAATTTCACTGTGGTGGTGTGCCTCTTCGAAATATATGTAGCGTAAACCCTGAAGTATCAGCAATTATTGGTCATTCAATAATCTTTCATTGGTTCCATCAAAACGTTAATTGTCATGGCAAATGTAAAATAATCTTTATTTTGAAAAAGAGAACACTCAAAAACAACAACCTCTACAGTATTGTAGGGGAAAAAAGGTCTGGGTGAGCTTTAAAGTTCTGATCTGAAGAAACTTCTTGGATGAGAGACGAAACGTCTTCTAGAAAATTTCACGTCCAGTTGCCTAAACTGAACTTTTCCAGCTTGACAATGACCTAAATGACTAAGAATCTTCACAGATAGGTCTGGATGTTTTGTCAAGTCAAATCTTATTTCAATTAAAACATTTGATAAATCAAGATGTTAGAAAAAATTACTCCTTAAAATAACTCCTTAATTTCTTTTTGACATTTCTGCACACACTTTGACATTTGCATGATCACAACAAAAAATGCACGTAATTTTACCTTTTGTTACGATGAAAAATTTATTGTATAATGAATTTAAAAATGTATTAAGTTTATATGGTTGAGGTGGTGGTCTATATACAAGTGGCTGAAAGCCCTCATTCTAGGCCCAGGTTTGAATCTCACCCGCAAATGATTGCCCTAATGTCTCCCCTTCTCATTCACTCTCTCTGCACCCCAATTTCCACATAATATAAAATAAAAAGCAACACATGCCATAAAGAAAATATTTTTAAAATGATTAATTGTCATAATTCAGTGTTTTGTATACTTTATGGTCCACAATAATTCCTCAACACATTACGTCAAGGAGTGCTCTTCCTGTTTTTGGCCGAGGCCGCTCCACATTTCAATTAACTCATATCCTGCACACTTGTTTTTTCCTCCCCAAGACTGTCCAGGGCAAAAGCTCATTGAGCTTTTTCACTACGAATTGTCAAGATAGTACCTCCCTTATGTTTTATATATGTACACATACGTTTTCGTGTGTGTAAATCGCACAGCAGCTTTCAAGGGATGAATTTCCTCCAACTTTTATTATTTGGTTTCTATAATATTTGGTTTATTTGTAATTAACACTGACCTAGATTCATGCTCACAGGTATCATCAAAGTTATTCTTAAATGGCAAATGTAACATGAGAAAGGCTAAAAGTCAGTCAAGTTTGCCCTGACCTAACTTAGTGCATGTTTACGCATTCATATAAACTTCTAAAGATCTTCTAAAGATTTTGACTTAGACACAATTAAAAAAAAAAAAAACTGAGTGAAAGGAGGCTTTACCCTTCTGCACACATACCTTTCCTCTCCTCCCATTGCCTCCATCCTGGTCCTCCCATTGCCAGTCCACTCCTCTCACGACACGGCCACCAGCGAAAATCCCTCGGGCTGTGATTTTCTTTGACTTGCGGCGTGATTCCAAAAGTACTCTGCTCAAATGAAACATTTGTAATCAGGAATAAGTGTTTTTATTTGGATTTGTGACAAACATGCTGTGTGACACTGAATTGTGGTTGTTTACAACACTTTCTATTCCATATCAATGACTGCAATCAGCCTGCACGTCTATGATTTACTTACTTCAAAGTGGGTGAGATTTTGCTCTCCTTATTACCCTCAAAGATGGGAAGGACTCATGTGGTCCTAAATATGTAATATTTGTTTATTTTTTTCCTCTTTATCAGAGCTGAGTATTCGATATGTTTTTTTTCTCAATAAAATCTTCCAGATTTTTTCGGTGTAGAATTACTATGATTTCAAAAATAGATCATAAACATACTTTTTATGCATGTATAATTACACATATAAAACTATTCAAGCTGTCATATATAGTTCATAGGTCAATGGATTTTGTGGCTCCAGATGCATTTTATTTGGTGGGAGAGGGGCAGGTTTCAGACCTCTGGCCTAACCAATACAAACAGCTTGCAGCCCTTAACCACGCCCTCTTCAGCATCTACTGAAAGAATCAAATGTGTCGTAACAAAACGCCCTCACCCTGCAGCAGGAGTGTTGTGCGCTAAAAGGACCTCGACCATTCAGTGTGCATTGTGCAATGTCACAAGGGAAATGACATGGTGCCAGCTGTTGGGCCTTGTAATTCATTCACCAAATATACAATGTCTGGCTAAAACCGGCCCTAAAGTTATTAGTTCTTTAATCAAATGTAAAATTAAAACCAAAACACAAGTTATGCTATGTTGTGAGAAATGCTTCCTTAATCTCCATCTGAGCTATTGAATCCAGTGCATAAAGAAAATATGTACACCAATATCTGTTGGGAAAAATGCAGCCCTAGTTGTTTCAATTTTCCACATTTGCAAATTCAAAACAAAATTAGGAAGCAGGGAAGAAGGTGGGTATAAAACACAATAAAAAAAATTATCCAAAAGTTCACAGTGTTTCAACTAAAAGATTAATTACTATCATATAAACCTCCTTTTGTAAAGGTAAATATGACTGACAAAAATACCAGCGTTATAATTAAAGAATTTTAATTTTATTTTGCTTTTTTTTTTTTTTATTTTTCATAGAAGTAGCTGTAATAAAGAGATAAGCTGTCTGTGATGTAGTTCATACACATTTTGTCTAGCTCCTTCTCAAATTCTTATAGGTTGTACACAGCTATTTTTCACTGTAATAAAGTAGGTAGTTTTGTGATCATTATTTCTTATTATACAACAATATAGTCAAATACATGACATTATGAAACTTGTCAGCTTAGACTTTTAATTAAAATGTCTTGAAACTTTCAGTTACCTGAAAGAGTGCGGAGTAAGATTTCTGATGGTGGGTTTCAAATTACATTCATATTAAAAAAAAAAGGGGGGGATCTGCTGAAATACACCCTATTGATAAAAAAAACACTGCAATTCTATAATTTCTCAAATAAAATAAAAAAACAGACTGAATCTTCAAATGAGGCTGAGTAGTTGCCAAGCAACTGAGGGCTGGGAGCACAGAGACAGCATCTGGCTGCTTTAGAGGCAGGGTGCACAAAAAGATTCTCAAATGTCACACACTCAGATAAGGTATTAAAGCTAAACTGTATGAGGATCAGCCAATCACAAAAAGGCACAGGGGTTACTTGGCAACTTCATGGCTCCAGTATTAACTGCTGCTCCAAAAAAAGGGACATTGATGGCAAATGTTGCTATTTTAACCCACCTCTCACTGCCTGGGGTGGTGATCCTGTAGAACCGGTGTCTCAGGTGATGCTTGTCTCCATGGTAACAGGTTGTACAGAGATCGTAATTGGTGCACTCTGCACATTTCCAGCGAATGCCAATGATGGGCTGTTGACGGCAGGTGTCACACATGGTTCCATCATGCTTGATACCTGCCAGCAAACAGTACTTGTAAGTTAAGAAAAATTGACCTGTGTATGTGTATGTCAGCAGACATCCATGGTATTATTACAAAGATGGTTTTAGAATTACAATACATAGTTTTACATGATCATGAGAAAACCAAAACGTTTCAGATAGATTCATGTGTACAAACAGACATTAAACTTGTGCAAATATCAACATAACAGGTTGCCTTTGCAACTAGTAATTATGTTATTCCGACACACAAAATTGCTATTCACACAAAATGTTAATGTACTACAGTAAAATAAATCTGTTGAATTATATGCTTGTATTCATGTGTATGTATAACTCATTTAAGGTAATCCTTTGATTTTCTGTTGTGCACATCCTACAAGTTAATCCTGCCATCCTCAAAAAATGTTTTTCCTCCCGAGTAATTTTGAGTCAGGATCTATGTTGGCATACCCGTGGTTTGAAATATGTGCACTGTCCAGTCTGCAGTACTGCCAGTATATTTATTTATTTATGCAAAGGCAAATTATTACACAGAAATGAGTTTTGTGAATTATAGGTCGAGTGTCTAGCATCAATATATTACAAACTGAACACAACTAATAACAATGTTTGAATAGATTTATCTCTTTGTGAAAGTAGGTAGAATCTCAACAGCACTTTCAAAGTGAATGCTATAGGGCGTAAATTGGACAGGAATTGTGCAGCTTTGCAATAAAACTTTTCCGTTGCAGTCGAAGTAACTTCTTTGTGCGTCAGCTAACTTAAAAGTTACCTGTTGGCGCACTGTCCAATATCCTCACGTCGTAAGCACCAGAACAACGGTAGTTAGCAGCTGTCCCATTGTCCCAAACGACAACCACCTCCTCGGGGCTTTCAAAACTCCTCACGGTTCCAACATGTCCCTCTCCACCGTCCTGCTTCCCCCACTTCCAGTCAGGTCCGCGGACCACTCTGGCTCCTACTCCTTCCATCATCGCTCGGTTATTCCTACCGGTGGTCATTTAAGAAAAGATCTCGCAAGCCACAACTATTCGTGAAAAAAGAGCAAGCTAGCAGTCTCTGCTAGCCAGCTATTGGTGTGCTGTAGGATAGCTTCCAAATGCAAGTAGAAACAAGTCTTCACAGGATATACAAGTGAAAAAATCCCCAAAGCTAGTCTGTAAGCTAAGTTAACAGCCCGTGGAGAGTATGGGGTCCTCTTCTATAAACTACAAGCTAGCGTCAACTGCAACCCAATGCTTGTTCGGTTTTCTGTTTGGAATAAAGCACAAAACAACCCAAAAAGACCATAAAGTATATACAATGCTAGTTTACGATTTTCTCAGCACGCAAGCCAGTCTGTCCATCTCCGGTTCACACAGAAGAAAGCCACCTCTTCAACTTAGCAAGCTAGCAACCACAGCTGCTAGCGATAGCAATGCTAGCAATACAAAATTATCTTGACTCCTTGTCGCCGGAACGAAATCCTTCTGCTTGCTGACTGTTCTTATGATAATATTTCTTGGTGAAGCCGAAGCAAGTCAACGTGCTCCATTCCTCAATTAAATGGATCCATGGACTCAACTCCGAATAATAGACGCGTCGCCATTATAGTCAATCATCCTTCAAGCTCCAGACGAGCAACAACTAGCCACGGAGGTGTACGATGAAACACGAAGACGCGAGGGGCTTTGTGAAAACAAGCCATGTCCACCTGCCAGTGCGCATGCGCTTCTAAAAAAAAAAGTGTGGTCCAAAAGTGGGATGGCGAAAGAGTCCATGTTTTTTATGTGTGAAAGCATATGCCTTGCATATCTTTATTAATTAGTTTCCTCGATTAGTAAAAAGAATTGACTCAGTTGAAGGGGTCCCTAATCAATAGAAACTTTATAACCGTACAGAGTCAAAGCAAAACAATATTTAAAGGGAAATCTATTCAGAAATAATTCAAATTATATACAACTTTTAAAACGATAATTGTAATAGCACATACGTACCAATAAGCCTTTTTCTTGACTTGCTCTGTTATAAATTTTTACTCAAAATACTGTGCAATAACATGTATCTATTAGTGATATTAAGTTGCCTTCTAATTCACCCTATACATTTACTTCAGTAGAAAATGAGGTTTCTGTTACCCTACTATTTTGTACTAGTTTCCAACTTCTAATAATCTGTTGTCTGAGCGGATCAAAATAGTGAGATTCTATTCAAAACAAACAATAAAATCCTGAGGTAACTATCTACTTGTTTAACCCATCATGGGTTTTGCTGATCAGTAGTAAATATCCCCCGAGTGCTTTAATAACTCTCCAACGTTAAAATAATAAGTGTTACTTTTCAAAATAAAGCAAAACATATGGACTCAATGGAATCTCAACATTGTCTTTTTTAACAAGAGATCTCTCTTGGTTAAACTAAGCATGTCTACACAATAGAATTATAGTAGGCTACAGACAAACAAGCAAATTCAAACTACATACAAACCTCAGGCTTACTGTAGTTTAAACTCGTGGGAACTCTGCTCAAGATTTTCCTACTACAATAACATTATTGCCCTGGGGCCTCTATAATTTCATCACACTTTCAATTAATTTAGCTTCCACTAATTACCACATGGTGAAGCTTGAACATGGAGCCCCGTGGGTATGTAACCTCAGGGGCATCACCCATCTATGTCTGGTTAGTCAGAGGTTTCGAGGCATGAACTACCACTGCACCATATAGAGATGGAAGACTAGAGGAAATGAATTATGTTGTCTCCACTTGATCCATTTCTCTCGTTGCTGCACATGGTGCACTACCCCCCTACGGGCAGCAGGGGGCGACAGAGTGGTTCCGGGCGGGCGGCAGGACACAGAAACCCGGTCAAAGAGCGCCACCTCTCGCTTATGCACATGTTTCTCCCCCCACCCACCAGCTCCCCTTGACTGTCTCCTTCATAGTTGGCTCGCAGGCACACACAGCAGAATTCCATCCAAACTGGCCGCCCGTCCTTGCTGCACGGGAGACAACAGGAACCTTGCAATGATCTCGCTGGACCTCAATTTCAACATTTTGACCACGGACATCTCGCATTATCTGGAGAATCAAGTCAAAGTGGGACTGCTTGGTTCGGGAGTGGGGCTCTCTCTGGTGCTGGGCTTTAGCGCAGCGTACACCTGCTACTATTTAATTTCAGTAGCGAAGGTAAGTTCAAGATAATATGTAACCAGAGCCAGTGCTTAGGGGGCATTCGTTTTTCGCAGTGTGTGTGTGAATACATTTGTCGTAAACCGGTGCGTCCGTGTTTATAACGGTGGAGTATCCCAACTGTCAGCCGGCCGGCGCGCGCTCACAGATGGAGGTTTCGATTAGGTCGCATCCGGCCGCCGGTTGGCTCCCGCTAAAAGCACATGTGGAAATGAGATATAGGCTGGGGTCAGTGCATTTCTACCCACAACAGACGCGGTGTCACATTTAACCGCAGCACGTTCAGTCCGCGGCTTTTCCCCGGCCAGGCGCAGAGTTTCCGGTCAGATGCGGGCACCGGCTAAGCTAGGCCGACAGCCGTGCGCGCGCCCATAGGTGTCCACGGTCAATCAGCGCGAGGGTGCTTGATGTGGCGCGTGCCAAGTTGCAGTTCACCCGGGAAGCGTCGCAGGGTTAGACTGCAGACAATGAGAAGATGCATCAGCATCTGTTCAGTACACTGTAATGCAGCAGGGCTTCTTTCGGTCAATGGGAATCCGTTTGAAGCGATTTTCTCTGGAATGGAGGCTGTTAAAAGCTGCATTTCTGAAGCCAATTTTCCAAATTACGCAATGAAGTTCGGTCTTTAAATCACTACTTGTCACAGTTAACCTAGCATTTATTTCGAGTCTATTTAAGAATAATAAAAAGACATAGATTCTGGTTTATGTTTTTTTTTATGTTTACTCTTATATACTGTGACGTGCTTCTTTCTGTTATAGATTCTCATTTTGCTGCTGAAAAGTCTCCTTTAATGGTACAGTTTCAATATAAACGATTACTGAATTGAATTTTGTATCTATTCACTTGTATTTTCCAGAAACCTCAGCTTATATCTGGGGGTAAGAAATTCTACCAATTTCTTTGGGAGCAATGTCCAGTAGTGTCAGAGACCTACTATCCCACCTTTTGGTGCTGGGAGAGCCGCATCCAGACGCTGCTCAGACCCTTTGTCACGGCCAAACCCGGAGTCATCTACAGAAAGTAAGTCCCAGCATACTAACTGTTCACACTGACACACTTTGCATTGTTAGAACTTGCACTTTTCCCTTTGAATTTAGTCGTCTTTGGACTGAGCTTGTTCAGTAACCACGTTTCTAAAATGTCCCATGCTGTCTGTCCACGGCTATACAGTATACTGAAACGTTTCTTACTACTTTGTCGTATTTGAGTAACTGCTTTTGGATTTTTCTTGATTTCTTTCTTTCCAGTGTCACAACTGGAAACAAATCCCAGTCTTTGTTCTCCGCTGAACCCTAAAGCTCAGAAGAGAAAGAAGTCCTTTATAGCATTCTGCAGGCTTTGGCTGCCCGCTCTGTTCTTTGATATGTAATGTACATTCTCTGGAATATTACCCGGCACTGCACTCCTTGCCCTCTATGTGCTCAAATAAGATTATATTCAAATTTGTTTTTCGTTGCAACTGTCTGCCGTCAAAGTGTGAAAATGTTATTTGTTGTTTTCATTTCGTCAGCAAAGAAGATGAGACTGGAATTAATTGTGTTCTGGTAGAGACTAATTGCAATATTCAAATTTATACGTAAACTTGATTGTTTGAAATTGAGATTAAGACAATATATGTTAATGTAAGTAAAATCTTATATTATAATTGTTTTTAAAACCCCAAATATGTCCCGGGTCAATTTGACCCGAGGGATACCAGAGGGTCCCAAAAGTGAATACCATACAAGGGTTAAAAAATAAGAAAGTTCTTTCCTCTGAATTTCTAAACATGAAAGCACATTTAAAATGAACTGACTTCTAATCATGTAACACTGCAGGAAACAGCCAGACGAAAGCTTTCCTGAATTTAAAGAATGTCCCTGTTTGTTTCCCTATGTTTGGATTTAACATCCATCCAAAACGGATGGGATGTGAAAGTAATTTCCTTTTAACATTTACGCTGCGTCAGCTTTTGACGGCCTTCAATTTTCAAAGAGACAAGTATTCCCATAATGCGTTGGGACTATATCCATCCTATTGGACACCTCAACCTGATAAGACTGTTGGTCTTAGCCGCTGTACTTATCATCATATTTACTCCCGGGATGATTGGACTCCATTCCCCACCCCCCCACCCGAACACAGATAATTAAGTTACCCAAGGTTGACCCAATGACGGACACGATGAAAAATGTTCGAGTTGTTGTTGGCTGTCTGGGTGAAATTCCACTCAGCTTGTTGTCCGATGGGAGGATAAGTCGCACATCCCCTCCCACTTTGTGCACTGGCTGCTTTGAACTGGTCCGGCTTGACTTTAAAGTCTCACCTTGGGTGTGTATTTCATGGCGGTTCTGTAATTTCATGCTGATACTACGGGCTAAGCAAGCCGACTCAGCTTCAGTTGCATGTGCCATGCCGGTTTTAGCCCACGAGGCTACACTTGTACAGACCAGACTTTTATTGACATTAGGAATTAAGTGGTGAACTGTTGTCTTTATCTTTATTAACTGTGTGCAGCAAAGTCCACCAAGAAGTTGAGTACAAGACAAACGAGGCACCTGTCATTGAGCACTCTGCTGACATAACTACTTCCTCTGTCGCAGAATGTGCTGGATATCAGGAAGTAATCCCTATCTATCCCTTCCTTAACAGAGAGCTTGATTTGTGCAAACAATGAAACATGATAAAATACAATTCTATGGGAAGCTTTTTCAGATGGCTTTACTTATAATGAGCAATTAATTATGTAAATCTGATATTCACTATATTCTCATCAGTTTTATCATGTTTGCATGTTTGTGTGCATGCAAAAGCATGAGAAAATAAGAAGAGAGAAAGAAAGAGTATATTCAGTTACAGATGGAAGATGGTTTTAGAGAAAGACCCATTTTGCTGAGTTGCGTGTCCCATTCATCTCTGCAGTGAGCTCATTAAGGCAGCAGATGGTGGGCAGATATCTGTGGACTGGTTTGACAACGATGGCAGCCACGCTCATCCCGACCCCGCTACCAGGCCCACAGTCCTCCTTCTCCCCGGTCTGACCGGCACTAGCCGAGAGTCCTACATCCTGCACATGGTCCAACAGAGCCGGGATCTGGGCTATAGGTGGGTGGTCTTGGCAGGATGGCTTGGCTTAGGTCCAATGCTGAACAGACTTTCAGGGCAACTAAATCACAGAGTTGAAATTGTTTCTGCCTCATGCTCTAATTTGCACTCTATCTACTGTTCAGAACGATTGTGTAGTCAAAAACAGAACGTCTTTGTAGTCTCTCCAGTATCCACCAGAAGGTAAAACCTGACATCCAATTTTTGTCTTGCGTTTCAATTGGTTCATTCAGAGTTGGGGTTATTTCAGGTGAAGTAAGCCGATAAAATGGGCTGTCAAAAGCCACTTTTTCAAACAGGCAAAGGTCTCACAAGCTTGAAGGATTGCACACTCAGGCAGTTTCTCCCCTTTTTTGTCCATTTCTAACTGGCTCTTTTGTGCTCTCTGCACTCATTCTTTCACCCAGATTTGGGAAGACATGCACGGAGAGCCAGCAAACTCAGCAGCCTCCTCCCCTCACCCTAGCCCGTGTTGCTTAATTAATTACAGCTTATCCTTGTACGAGCTTTGCAGCTTAGCTCCGGCCAGCTTCCGTGTCCGTGCTGCAGAGTATGTTTTAAGCACCCCATCTCTGTGGCCCTGCCTCCTCTTACCCAATGCCCTGTGCTGCTGAGTCTTACAAATAACATCAGCAGTTCTGAGTCTTCAGCATAATAGATGACTGTTACACAAGGAGAGATGCTAATGTCTTTGTACACACAGTATAAAAAAGGAATGGGGAAAAAAGTCTCAACACAGCTGTACCTTTTTGCACATCTCATCATTTTTCTCGTTCATCTGTCTTTTTGTACATTAATCATTTTTTCAAAGGACTTTGGGCTGCATTGCTCTTCTGAGCATGGATGTTTAGCTTATATATTTTTGTAGATTCAGGCAATCTTTTGTTTGCCCTGGTTTGCTTTTGATTTCGCTTTTCTGAGGAGACCCTAGTCAATATATTGTGATACAAAAATTAGAACCAGTGAGAGTTAGTGATAAACTCATAGCAGAGACATCGAAAATACTATTTTTCATTAAAGAATTTCCTAGTTTTTGGCTTGAAAACATCACATAGTACTTTTGTTGGTATCAAAATGTTGATTATAAGGGCAGATATGTACTTGTCTAAAAGGTTTGGATTAAATTTGAAATATTTTTAATATTTTGATGATACAACCTAAACCTTTTTTTTTTCATTTAAACTTATTTGACACCCATAAGCCAAATTAATCATTCTTCTTCATTTTTAGAGTCCAGTTCTATTTTGTGTTAAAGATATAGTGGAATTCGAAACACATAAAAAAGGTAATGGTGCCAGGACTGATCATAAAAGTTGAATCTACCAAACGTTCAGCTTGTCTAAACAATGATTAATTTGACTACTAGTTTTTACCAATCAATGTTAGAAAAACCTATATGGATTACAAATATGTTTTTCTTAATGTGAGGAACCCTCGAGCTCTCATTATTTCAAAAGGTTTGAGTAAGTCTGGTGGAATTCCCAGTGAAAAAGACACTTAGCCCTGTCGGAACCACATCAGAAACCACCACCTCATGTTATGAAGAACTTCTCTTCAGGAACTCCTTGGAAAACTACTCTGTGTCAACCCAGTCTCCTGAAATGTAACGAAATGTAACCTGACACTGTGTTACACACAGAGCCAGTTGAGCACATCTCAGAAGGACAGAAAGATCTTGAACATGTTGTCATGTTTCAGCTTTTTTTTTTTGCATGACAAATGTTTGAAACCTCATCTAGTCTTTATGAAACAAGAGCAGCACCATCCAGCTTTTATGATAGTGTGGGAGCCCCGTATCGAGGCATGATTGATTTGCATACAGTGAAAAGGGAGCGCTGAGGCTGAGATATATATTGGAATTTTGAAATATTCTGCGATAAAGGCAACACAAAGCTGTGAGAGCCTCTGTCAGACATTGTTTTTGTATTACATTTAGAAACTAAACCTGACTTATCGCTCAGGTTAGTTTTGGCATTAACAGAAGAAGTGAGTAAAGAAATCATACAGAGACTAAAAACTCACGTAAGACTTGTTTTGTGTGTTTCAGGTGTGTGGTGTTCAACAACAGAGGGGTATCTGGAGAAACCCTCCTGGTGAGGACAGAAATATGCTCTTTATCTACATCTCTCTGTGTGTGAGCCAGCACAGAGCACGTCTGCTGGACATCAGCCAAAGTTACAGCGAGCCTGAATGGACGATGCAAAAGTGGTGTTGGTGCAGTGCAGGGATTAAGTTGCAGGCACCTCCTGGTTTTTAATGCAGATTCACAGAAATATGACCTCGCTAAACACGTGCCAGTCAGACACCTGGCTTAATCTGTCCTTTTACACCCGAGTATATTTAGCCAACAAAGCAGGCCCAGACTGGACATGCTTTGCATGCTCACTGTGGAAACTGACTCCCCCACTGAGAGTATAGCTGCTTTTCAACAGGCCTTTCTTTATGGATGACGACACTATAACTCCTATCTACCAGTTTGAGTTTTTATTCAAAGCACAATTGCATTTTACAAGTGGTAAGGATGGTCCACAATCAATCTAATATGCCTCTTCATGCTTTCAGCTTCAAATAGCTCAAACTTAAAGTGTCTAATTTCATTCAGGTTGATTTAAGAATTTAACCTACTAAAAAGAAAACACAGCTGGATCCTGTAACTCTGGCCTTCTCTCAAGTAGTGATGGCAAGGGAGGACTTTTCTCCCTCATTTCTGCTGGGTATTGTGCTCTGGACTAAGCTTTAGCACAGTGCTTTACCCTTTGTACACTTCTATCACTGTTTTCTTTGTGTCCAGTTGGAGTGAATGTCCTCCATTGTTTAGGTTGGCAAACTCTTTCAAACGACCAGCTGTGTCCAAGATCCCCCCCCCCCAACCCTCATTCTGTAAAGACCACAGGGAGTTCTTGTAATCTATCTCAATTTTTTGGAAAAGCCTCATATCCTAAAATTGTGTATACTTCTGTTAATTCTTTTTCCTTTTTTGTGATAACATGTATTTATTATGTTTTGTTGGGTTCTAATCTTTGACAAGCCATAAAAGGATAAAAAACAAGTAGAAAAGACAGTGCATTCAAAAGTTAAATCCCAACCTCACAAACACAGCTTGTTATGTGGATATAATGGATGTAAAAAATGTTCAGACTGACACTGAAACACACTTATTAGGAGTGTACCATTCTTTATAATGGAGAAAAGGGTGACAAATATAATTCGGCACAGAAACATATTTGTCTAATTTTGCAACAACAAACCTTAATTAAACACAGAATAGCAGCAAAATAAGTCTGTTTGGATTCTGGTTTGGATAAGAGTTGATTATTGAGATTATTAGCGTCTGCCAATTTGGTCTCAGAGCTATGATCACTTTTATTTCCTGTGTTATTTGTCATGAATTGTTTACCAAAATGTATTCACTGTAGAGTCACTACCGGTAATTACACTAACATAAGACGCCACATACACTATAGATTTCATTTTTGATAAATTAATCCCAATCTAAATTTACATAATGGACAATTTTAAGCCTTAAAACAGCAGCCCAAAGTTCTTGTTTTGTGATGATGAAATAGTGGCGTACTGTTGTGCTTACCAGAGCACACGGCCTTACAGTCACCAGGCAAGCGGGGGACTGTGCTATGAAGTAGGATTAACGGCTTTTCAAGGTAACTTCAGGTTCAGCTCTAGATAGACACACAAAGTTGGTTAATTTCTTACTGTGATCCATTACCATGGCATTGATCTGTTTTATCTATTCATGTAAATAATATTTGATGTATAAATTACTCCTTAGCAGTCTAGGGAGTTGATATATATATAAAATTTTTAAAGTAGACTAATTAAAATCGTTGGATGATTAAGAACGTTTGAACAGTATTTTTAGAGCTCGCATCAAGAAATTCTCACTGCTGTTTCAGAGGAACAGCTCACTCTATTTTCCAATTAAATCACAGTACATTCTTTCAGAGAAAGAAAGAGGAAGATAAAAAAAAAGGATCAAATAAGGCTGACTTTATTGTTATCTTGTTATACACAGACCCCGAGGACCTACTGTGCAGCCAACACAGAGGATCTTGAGACTGTTATCGAGCACATCCAGATGACCTATGAAGCGGCTCCGGTCATGGCTGCTGGCGTGTCCATGGGAGGGTAAAGAAACATTTGAGTCCTGTAAAGCTTTGAAAAATGTGTATTAGTCTTCAAGCTGGATAAGAGAGCTTTACACATTCAGCGATGACTCACTGTTTTGGTGATCGTTAAGAACATTAACTCCATGAATTATAACATTGCAGCATTAAGCATTCTCCCAGTTTTGGACTGGACATGCAGCCAGTCGTTCAGAGCTGCATGACAAATAACGTGTTTTTCATTGCACAACACTAATCCCTCGAATTGAGGGATTGCTCTGAAATGGAATCCCTGTTTCCCCATCTGTCCCTTCTCCCTCTCTCCACACTCAGGATGATGCTGGCCAACTACTTGGGGCGTAAGGGCCGGGAAACCTGTCTGAAAGGGGTGGTCGTCTTCTCAGCTGGCTGGGACGTATTTGAGTGCACGGCATCACTCGAAAAACCTCTTGACCGCTTCCTCTTCAACTCCTACCTCACCAGCTGCCTACAAGCGTCTGTGCACAGGTCAGCCAGGGCCGGAGCGGGATTAGCACGGCCACTAACACTCTGCAGGCACACGACTGACTGGGTTAACACATAAGTACCTTAAATGTCGGTTTAAAGTTTGCCTTTTGGAAAAAAGCCTTACTTGTGATGCAGCTACATGCGTTAACACCAGTCTGTCACCGAGGCTTTCGTAGATTCACAGCTACGCTCTGTGTCTTCTCTCAGGGCAAAATTGTTTTTGTGGTTGTGTTAGCGCATATATTTGTGGAGTTTGTTCAGATGGACATTTTCAGATGGAATCCTCACTGCATTTCATTTCTAATCCCTGCAGACACAGGCCGGTGCTTGAAAAGTCCTACGATATTGATCATGTCATGAAGGTAGAGATGATTTTTATTGACCTCGAGCCACTTCAGTTTGGTTTTCGAAACAGCAGGTATAGTTGAACTGTTTCGATGCACCCCCGCAGGCGAAGACCATTCGAGAGTTTGACGAGAGGTTCACGTCCAAAATGTTCGGTTACCGGAGTAATGATGACTACTATCGGGATGCCAGTCCCGTGCACAGGCTGAAATCCGTCCAGGTCCCGATGCTGTGTCTGAACGCTGCTGATGACGTCTTCTCCCCGTCTCACGGTGAGTTGCACAACCAGCTTATATCAGTAATTACCAAAGCAGTCAAGCAAAAGTAGAACAAATCAGTGTAGATCACAAACATGCAGACCTGTTGATGGCTGGGAGTCAGTAACCAACAGGCCGCTCCTCTGTGGTAAATCCACTGTTTTGTATTAAATAGCTGCTCAGCACACAGACCAACATCCCCGCTATCTTCTGCGCTGTATGCATTATTAGAGATGTCCTGGACATATAAAAGTCTGTCTAGAGATAACCACTTGATCGATCTTTGTTTTCCTTTACTGGGAGCAGTCTCTAAACCTTTTGATTGCACAGAGAATGGAAAAGTAGCTGGGTCCTGTTTTCTGCTTACAGCCATTCCCGTTGAGGCCGTCAAACAGAATCCTCACCTGGCCATGCTGATCACCTGTCATGGCGGTCACATCGGCTTCCTGGAGGGCCTTTGGCCTCGACATAGCACTTATATGGATCGAGTCTTCAAGCAGTTTGCAAAGGCCGTCATCGAACAAGGCGGCGGACTCACAGACCTCTCCTGAAAAGAGAACTGAGCAAAGTGTTCCTCTCTTTTCTTCCTGTCCTTTGTCTTTCATTTCTTTGGTCTTCGTCATCCATCATTCCTCAGTGCATTCCATTCAATAACCCCTCCATTTTTACTTCCTTTCTCGTTTAAACTACCTTCCGTGCTGGAGTTCAATCTTTTAACCATTCAACATTCCAAACTGCCATCCACTCTTTATTCCCTTCCTCAGACCAAATCCTATTCAACATTATCCTTCCTTTTACTGGTTATCTTTCTTCTGCATCCGTCCCTCCCGTTCTTTTTCCCTCCACAAGCAAAAAAAACATTCAAGGGCACATCATTGAATGCAACATTTGTCTTGCATTCAACATTCTTTTAGTTTATTTCATACAATTAACGGGTCTTTATTTTTGTGCTCGTTGAGAAGCAAAGCTGCTCCTGTCCGTTCTGAGAAGCTCAATCCGTGCTCATGTTGTTGTTGTAGGTCTCCGAACAATTCTGTGGTCACCCCGTGCAATCTTTTTTTTTTATTATCCAAATTTAGCACTGTCTGTTTTTATTTTTGAAACATCCCATGGTATATAGTGCTTATATCAGTAGGATTTTAGCCCTCAGGGATTTTCTTTATTTACTCATCCCTCTCTCTTTGTTGTGTTTTTTTGTCAATCAATCAATCGTTTCTCCATAATGATTAATAGCACATCATAATGTGTTTCCTTTAAAGTCATAGCCTGATGTTTGAAATACACCTGAGTGCTTTTCTTTCAGGAAGTTTTTTAATTCTACTCAAATCTGGGGTTCACAGACATCAAGCCAAGCAGGCTGGAAGCAGGAAGAAACAGAGTGCACCTCCAAAACTTTACATAAAATCTTAGATCTCATTTTCACTTTTTGTTAATTCATGCTAAAATATATATTTAACATGGATGAACAAGATTATAAGTTTATGGATTTGGTAGGCCTTTTTCCTGGTATTTGCCCTGATTCCTTATTTATAGACCTTTTTTAGACAATCATTTGATCAAGCTTCATAGAATTTATTTAGTAGATTTCTATATATTTCATGTAGGAATTACATCACAACCAATCATAGTAACATTAAACTGTAAAAAATAGAGGTTAAAGTGATATTAAGTACTACTTTAACCTGCCAAAACCAAATGTGGTGTTTGAAATCCGGATCCCATTCTTTAGCTTTTACACTAAATGCACTGGGTTGGCATCTTGAATACTCTTTTTAAAAAGTGTTTTTCCCCAACAAACCATAATGTTTATTTCAGAAAACAGAACTGAAAGACTTGTCTGAAGATGTTACAGAAGGTAACTGGTTGGCTGAGCTTAGCCTTTTTCCCCCTGCTTCCAGTTTGTGTTTCATCAAACCAACGACCGGCCGTAGTTTAACGGTCAGCAAAAAAACACTACAACAACCTCTGATCAGACTCTCAGCAAAAAAGCACACTCACATGGATTTTTCTGTTGGTCTTATGCATGCACTTTAACTGTCATTCATTCTATTTCTACGCACATCCAATAGGTTTTCAAATTTAGGATATGGAGGAAATTTTATCGTTGACAAGGAATGTAAAATTGCACTGTTTTAGTTTATAATGCCTCTAATTCCTTAATGCAAGGCAGTCATTTTGCTAGAGATGTGAAAAGTGTTTCCCAAGGCCTAAAAAGAGCAGTAAGCAAAGGCCGTGAGGTTTCCTTTGTGAATATGTCGATTAGTTCCGTTAGTAAGCCTCAGTGTTTGACACAGCAACGATGATGAAGGCATACGGGCGGACAAAGCACGTTACCGGCTGTGGGACATGGTTGATGCTGCTTTACAAGATGCAGAGCTCTATCACTGGTTGAAAAAGATTGCTGTTTATGTTTGCTCACTATCGCCAACAATGATCAAGGCGCTGGCTACCCTGAATGAGTTGGCTTTAGTGAACGGAGAAGATGCGACTGGCAACCAGAGTTATGGATAAGTGCCGCATGAGGGATTCTGACTTTCTAGTTCCTATGAAATTTAAGCATTGACTCAAGTGTCCATTACGTAGCATGTGTCTCATCAATCGTGTCTTGAACTTTAACATGACTTTGTATCCTGTAGCACAAAGGACATGTTTGTTTTTCATAGAATGCTGCGCTTCATTTTGTACACCACAGGAAAAAAAACGAAGTGAAATAAGTGTTTAAAGCAGGTGCAGCAATAAGATTTTAAAGTTAAAAAAACTGTCTCTGTGGTATAAATGCTAGTGTATTCACATTATCGAGATGAGTGTAATATTCTGTATTTATTAAATTATTAAAAGAAGTCTGAGTCAGTGTGTCTCCTGCTCCCTTTGTTTCTGCTTGCAGTGCACCTGTCAACATTGCATGAACTAAAAACGTGAATTTGCAGGCTCATCGTATTGTGTGGGTCAGGGTAGCTGACGTTAGTTGTCCTTTTTTTTTTTTTTCTGTCGGTCTTACTTGAGTGAAAAAATATAATTTAATCCAGCGGCTAAGTATGGAGCACATTTACACCACATAACAGAGGTTATCCCGTCCCTGGCTGTTGTCCCCCAATCAAATCCACATGCGAGACACTTAGCAGTCTACCATTTGAGCCGGTTTGTTGTACAGACAGTGTGTCACTGCAGGGTCACAAAGTCTCCTCCCTCGCAGCAAAATATGAAGTTTTTTTGTCCCTGGAATTGACCCAATCCGCCCTCCCTGGCTTAGTACGCTGATAGGATATGCATCGCTGCAGCGGTGGATGTTATCCACGAGAGACAAACTGTAATCCCCCAGCACTCCACTTACCTACAGTCCAACCGCATTAAGCCCCCTGACAGATGAGCTTTGGTTTTAGCTTGATGATGGAGGAATGTCTGTGAGTAATTTGACTGCCAAGAGAGATGAGTAATTTACTGTTGGTTGCACATCGCAGTGAACTGATGTTAAGTGGCAGGAATCCCTTTGTTGCCAGGGGGAAAACTATTTATGCCCATATATACATATATTTGCATGTTGTTAGGTGATGGTTATTGCTTGTTTAATCTTTTTAAACATTAAAGTTATGTACTTTGTCACAAATTGATCTCTCTGAAATGTCTTAAAATCTTTTGAGCTTAATCTTCCTTGAGCTTTGAGCGCAGTCATTTTCAGCCTCTCCCAAAAGAGCAATTATAAGTCACAGAAATCAGAGTGCCATGGAGTCTTTAAAGCCCTCTCTTTCTTATCCTATTCTAACAGGAGCTGGCTGAAAATAGCCACGTGTCATATCACGCAGAGGTTGTAGGTTGATGGAAAATGTGCTCTAATATTACCTCACAGGAGCTGAAATAGTGCCGTCCCCGGACCAACAATGCCCCTGTGCCCTCACAGTGCTGCCTGAGCAGATCTGAGCGTTCATTATCAGGCCATTTCTCCTTCAGACGCTGAGTGGTCTCATTATGCATCACCACTGATTTTTCGATGGATGTGCGGAGATGAAACAAACAAGAGAAGTGAACGAGGGTTTGCTCTTATGCCGGATAAGAGGATGTAAGAGTCAGTGGTTAGTGGAGAATGTGATCGCATTGCTAATCACAGGCTGATCGCCGGGAGGCAGATGCATTTTAACTGCACCGCTTTCTCTTTGAGCTGACACATTTGCAACATGTTTGATAAAAAATTACTCAACATGTAAACTGAAAGCATATCAACATCAGGCCAAAAGTTGTTGTTTTTTATAGAAGCAAGACTGAGAATGCAAAAGATGATACGATAGAATATTTTGCCTTGAGTAGATATTCAAATAAGAATAATGACTTAACCTGATTTGCATTAAGTTTTTAACAAGGAGCTTTCCTAAAGAAGTGAATGTGTGTGCTGGTCAGGTGGGGATCTAAAGTCAGTGACACTCAGCATCTGCTGTCTGATATTTTTCTATAGTGCCATCTACGATGAGTGCCTGGGGTGAACTTAAGAAACTATGTTGAAGATGATTATGGGATTTATGAAAGCAGCAGAAGCCCAAAGGTAACACCATAGAAACCACACTGTTCTAATGGGGCTAAAACCATTTTTTAGGAGCAGAGGTCATACACTGTGAGGTGACAAATACACTGGATGAGTAATGAAAAGATGAACAGGACGCCAGGCAGCAGACTTTACAGGAATAAAGAATTTATAAATGAGTGGGGACAAAACTTAAGCGTGAAACCATTCCATGATTATGCATTATGCCATTAAAAATGTTTGTAATGTGATAAATTGAAGGCATTCTGAAACAACAGTTCACGAAAAACTTGGTAAAGTTAAGTATACAAGCCGACAAGCATTAACCCATTTATGGGATTTTGGGGAGTGAATCTCACATGGTCTTGAGAGCTATTTTCCATTATTCTTGCATCCTTATGTTGACCAAGTACAGATTCATAAGATTCCACTCTGTAACATTCACTGTCTGTCACTTGGGCCAGTATTTTAACATGAGGGATTTAGTTGCCCTCCTTTTTGGATTAATGAAATCCTCCTGACAGACAGGGCTGAACCAGTCATGAAAACATGTTTCATGTTAAACCTAAAGAGACAAACAACAGGAGGACTGGGAATTGTTGGACAAAATTAGCTTGTGTCTTGCAGGTCCTCTTGTGAAGGTTTAGTGAATTGAACTTCTGTCAGCTATGTTTGAGTCATCTTCCAAAACACGTGATGGAATAGTGCTTTTTCCAGGGAAACATTAACACTAATGTTTATAAAGTTTGCAGAATAAGTGAATACCTGAGTATGAGTAGTTATATTAGTCTCCACTATTCAAATTGTGTTCATATATTTGTGGAAATCCCTGAAAAAAATCAACAATTTCAAACAATAACAAAGAAGAAAATGGATAGATTGAGTAGTCATTTTATTACATTCATAGATTTTCAACAATTGCAGGGCTCTACTGTTATATTATTCACAGCCAACAACCACAATGGTAAACATGAGGTAGATCAACCAGGCACCGAGGCTTCCACCGGGCTGCACAAACACACCAAGTACGTTTCATTTAAGATTGTGAGAGCAAGTTGCATATCATGTATTAAATTATCAAAAAAGAAAAACACATTCTTTAGAACAGTGGATAATGACATAGGTGTTTCAATCACCAGTCTTCTAATACTTGGACTAATTCTGGGGGAGCAAAATGTTATGCTTATATTCCTCAGCTGGAAACTTGGATAGTGCAAGTTCATATTTCCTACCCCCAACAACATTCAAGAGATCTATCAATCATCTTTTCGGGTTCCTGTGCAAAGCATTCACGGATGGTTCAGAGGAGGGAACCCCCCACACCCACCCAACCCCCCCCACCCCCTTTAGCATGCAGTCAAATATCACAGTTCAATATGATTATCAGTCCAAAATGCTTGCCAAATAAATAAGAATCTCTCATGGACATGATTTTCATTTTCAACACAAATGCAACACATGGACAGAAAGGGATACAGACATATGTTTAAAGACATATCTAGGTAGATTCTTCTTGCCTTTGCGACATAAAATGCGGAAAGACATGACCAAAAACTACTGGCAAAAGTTACACAAGACTAAAGAACATCAGTAACCCTCAGTGATAAAGGGGGTGATATAATATATTAATAATGTAAACAAAACTTTAAACAGTACAGTAGTCCAATTTCTTTTTTCTTCTTCTAGCTTGACTCAAACAACATTTCTTCGCCTCACAGTCCAAGCCTTCATCCTTACTGGTCTGAAAAATGGGTGACCTGTGACTGTGTGAAACATCATTTAAGGCATATTCTTTGGACAACCCTGTGGAGAAACATACAAAAACACTTTCAAGTATATGAACTGACCTACCAGGCTGCTTTTTGACAGTGAGTCACCCTTTTTTTTTGGATAACTCAACCCATTTCAAAGGTACACAAACGGCAGCTGCATCACAGAAGGAGCTAAAATCCCAGGCACAGTTAGTAGCAAGGTCATTGGCAGTGAGGGAGCTTAACTATTACACTGTATTCACCTACTTTGCCTTCAAATCAGTGAATGTGTTGATGGGAAATATTTCTTTTAGGATATGGGTCTATTTTGCTCTGACTGATTGGCATTACACATTAACAGATTGGCTTTTCGAAAAAAATAAAGCGTATCTAAGTAGAGGTCTGGATATAAAAATAGACCAACTTCACTGGTCCGGAAAGTAACATCTTGTTATTGAAATAATTCAGTCATTGGGAAATGAGAAGTAAAATGCGCTAAAATGGCTTCTTGCGAGGAAGATTGTTAGTTATCTTAGAGGCACAAGAAAGCGTTTAGCTGTGCTAGATCAAATTGTCCATTACAGTTCAAATCCCACTGATATAGGAGCCAACCTCAATGTTGATGTGGAGCTGCTGAGCTTCATGGAGTTTCAGAGGCAGAGCAAGGAAAGCAGAAGGGAAAGACAAGGTGCAGCTGTCTTTGGTGCCAACATAAGGTAATGCCAAACATACACTGAGAATAGGGAGGAAAAACTTAACACCTTTACATCTTGTTTTTTTTTTAGATTTCCCTCTTTTGAAACCCTGAGATGAACGTGCATTTCCATAACCGGACACACTCGATTCAAAGTTCATGGTCGCACACAATCTTTAAAGGGTCCTCTTATCATTTGGAGGGCGTCCATTTTTCGCAGAATATGACAACAAAACAAAGTCCAAATTGGGGTCTTTTTGTCCAGTAGAACAATTTATAGTGGAGACAAGTTGGATGGCAAGCAAGAGCTAAAGGGCCCTATCCCGAGACAGAAATTCAATAAGCTCAGTGTCATAGTGCAGTGCGGTGGTACTCGTAAAAGAACAGCCATGTCTACCGGCCTGGAAATAGTGTGAGGGTTGCTGGATGGCTTGGAATGAGAGCTACCCTTATTTCTGATCACGCCTCTTCAGTGGCATCGTAGACCTAAGCAGTAACAGCTTCACACGTGGCGCCCCGTCAGAAAGTAGAGGGGCCGATCCTCACTGCAGTTAGCCGTCTGAAACTCATCCCGCAGACGGAACTGCCACTCGTCCTCCAGCTCCAGTCGCACAATGGTCTGACGCAGGGAGCTTCGGTCCTGGCAGATCACGCAGAGAGTGGCTCCTGCGGACGAAAGCGAGATCAAAATGAATGGTTAAGATACTGTGACCTCAAACGCGTCCAATTCACCACACCAAATGGCCAAAGAAATGCCAGAGCAAACGTCGCTTGTACGTGCATGCGTCACCTTTGAGAAAGCGAAACTTCTTGAGGAGTCCGGAGACGACGAAGGAGTCACAGAGGTAAAGCAGCAGACCGCTGAACACCAGACCCTGATGGTCCTGGTTGGTGGAGTGTGGACGAGAGTTGATGTAGCACACAGAAATCTGTGGATAAAGATGGGACGCCCGATTAATGACAGTCCCACAAAAAAGACTAAAAACACTGAATTTTTCCTTTGGGATGCAACCTTAAAAGCACATCTGTTTTTAATTTGATGTATATAAACTGTTAAGGCAGGCTGTTGGGCTTGACTGTCCATTTCTATTTCAAATTATTTTCTTCTAATTTTAGGGATGTGTAATAAGTTGCTGATGTTATGATCCCACTAAAGATATTTTGCAAAAAGAGGAAATTATCATATCAAGGACACACCTTTACTCACTCCAATTTATTATGGTGTGCTATTTAATTTTCAGATTTGACGTTCTATTTAAACTAAGATGTTTTAGTTTCAAATCAAACAAGAGTTTTTTGGAAAGGGGGACTCTACAGTCACGTGTGTGGCTGTAGAGTTTCACACATTAAATGCAAATGCAATGTTTCACACATTAAATGCAAACTAAACCATTCTTTATCATGAAATGTGTCACCAAAAGGCATATATTTGTACCAGCTACACCTAAGGGTATCAATACAATTGAATCTATTATTATAGAGCAAGTAGTTTATGACACAAACGTTTAAAAGCTTAATTTAGAATATACATATATGTATTTATATATCAAATTTCCAATGTCCTCTTCTCTTATTGCTCAGATGCTAATATTCTCTTTGAAAAATACCATTTAAAGCATTTTTTTTATATTTTTTGTATTCATGGCAGTCTGATAATAGTTTCAGATTCCCAATAAGGATTGCAGATTTTGCTCTGAGATAAGGATTTTCGAGGGCTTTGTGTGGTGCTGTGCACATGTAGAGTATTTGCACAGTTGGCTTTCACTGTCTGCGTGTAAGCAGGTCAGAGTGTTCTAAACAAAACAGATGGCAAAATCGCGGAGCACGCTACTATTTGGGATTTTTTTCTAAATAATTTTGTTGTAGTTCACAGTCTTAGAGGTATGATACAGGTAAAAAGCCAACATTTAAATAAATATTAGTCCGCTAAAAAAAAAGAGAAGTCTCACGGAAGTCTCTTAATTGAACTTTCCAGTAAATTTAGCAGGACTGCAACCTCTTGGGAGACTTTACCTCCGGGCTGAGGTTAAGGTAGCTGTCGATGGACAGAACTGGGTTGTTTCTGTTCTGAACAGCCTTCGGAAACAGTCTGTGGCTGCAGCTCTGCAGGAACCTCTCCAGCAGGAACTGGGCCGGGGCGTCTAACAGGGTCTGCTCACTGTCTGGAGCGCAGACATACTGTGATGGGCTGATTGGAGCTGGGCTCTCGATTTCCTGAATAAAAAACACAAAAAAACTCAGTTTAGTGTAGGATTATATTTTACATCGACAGAAAACAACAAAAAATGACCTGATGGTATTTTTTTCAGCTTTACATCAACAAGACACCCACCATGAGTTTAGGTTTGACAGCAAAGTCTTTGTTTCCCCCAACGGGAATGTGTTTTTTCATCAGGCAGAAGTGGTTGAAGCGGCACAGCAGCAACCCGCTGCTGTTCACCCTCAGATTGAAGTCCACCTCCTCACAGCCATACCTGCAAAAGACGGCAAAGCCGGGTCGTGAAGACGCTGTTTGGTCGCGGATGCGTCGGCTGCCCCGGTTGTCTGCAAACGTACCGATTGAGATCATACTGAACATTCTGCGTCAGGTCCACATTGAGCATGACAAAGTCATGCAGGTGACAGCGACTGAAGGGGTTGCCGGGGGACCTCTGAGCCAGGCTGCTGCTCCACTTACGGGTGCCGCACATTGCGTACAGGGAGATCTTCGGCGTGTTCTCCATGTGCTGCAGCACGGTTTTCAGAGACACGTTGGTTAGAGCTGAGCTTCCCTCTGACGTGTCACTAAGAAACAGAAAAAAGGGACAACACTGAGACACATCTCTCACATGGACGTTTTCCCGTCTTGCTAAACTTGTTAACATATAAATAAAGGCAACATTGAACGGTAAAAATTTAAAACACATATACAAGCGCCTCTCTGCTGGATTATATGTAAGAAGTTTGGCTGTGAAAAACAGTAGGGCAATAAAACTGCATGGAGTTTTGAAATTTCTCCAACTGGGATTCAGAGGAATTTCAGCATGCAACAGACCAGTCTGAAATCAAAGAAATGTACCAATTCAAGAGGTTTTCTCAGTAACATCTGGCTAGCTGCATTTCTTGATTGGGTCATTAACACCAGGAAAGTCACTGTGCCCTCATGTGCCATTAGTTAACAATAATTTCCATAACCATATGGACCATGTCCAACATCTTTTAGTCAAATCCTCCCCCGTTACCTTGCGTCTTGGGACTGGTAGGTGTTCCACAGCACACAGGAGTCGTCCATCAGGACAATGAAAGGCCACACGTCTTGTCTCTTGACGCCGTGCTCCTCCAGTCGGTTTCTCTCCAGCTCCAGGTTATGGTAAGACAGCTCTTTGATCATGAAACGAGCGGCGCCTGAAACACACAGGAGCATTTTTGTCAAGTCGTCATTCATCCTCTCATACAGCTGTTTCCAGTATAATCTCCTCCAACCACAACAACCTGCTGAAGGACACAGAGGACTGTGTTATAACTGCATTATTACAGAAAAAGAACTGGAGGGAATACTCTGTATGATGCTGCATACATTGTTTGTGTACACTATCCAGAATAGAAACACTGGCAAGGGGCCAAACTGATATTAAGGGTCAAGGAAACACAGCTGCATTCTGTGCGTTCAGCTTAGTCACACCCTAATGAGACATGCCATGCACCCGATTGGCCGCCTTGCAAATGATCATATAGTGCAACGGGTCTTCATACACGATGCCTGCCTCACATTGGCTGGAAGTAGAATGCAACCTTTCACCCACTACAAATAAAATGTATCACATGACTGTCGTTTATTGACCGGTGTGACTCATTTACTGCAGTCATCAGCAGAAAATTAGTTTTAAAAAGAAAGTCTATTTCAAGATAGCAGAACTCTGAAAATTAAGTAGTGGTGCTTATAGTAAACAGGGACAGAAGTGAAGTTAATACATTCAGCAACAGCTGCATTGGTTGGAGGTCACAGGAGATTAAACCACAGCTTCTGTCACGTCTAAACGTCAATGTGCCGCTCACCAACTCCAGCATTGTTGAACATGGCTGGTAGGACGAGCAGGACGTGGTTGGGCCAGTATTTCCTATAGTGTGGCATCTCATAGTGTTTGACCACCAGGATGTGCAGATGAGTGGTGCCCTCCATGGCGTGGTAGAGATTGAGAAGGCCATGCTCCTGGCGTCCTGTTGTCGGGGTGAATATTGGACTTTTCAAGCGTTCGGGGTCCTGCGTGTTGAAACAAAAAAACTCAGCACAAGCCAATATTCTGAAGGAATAGAGCACCCACAGGTGGAGAATAAACTAACCTTGGTGGAGACCAGAGGCAGACGTAAGCTTTCCAGGTGGCTGCCCTGCTGACTGAAGACAAAGTGCTGCTCCTTGGCTTTAGGAATGAAAAACTGGAGCTGGACCTCCTCTCCCAGCATGGACGAGCAGAAGGTGAAAGCGTGGAGGCTGCACTCCGACAGCTGGGGGGCACACGTGCATGTATTATCACCAATAAGCGAAATTCCAAAGAGTAAAGAGGGTTTCAGGACCAGGATTTTGACAGTAAGCTGTTATGGAATATCTGACATGAGAGTGCATACTGTGACTCACCTGTGTAGCCGGACCCGCATCACAATACTGGTGACACTGTTCACAGTGGTGAAAAGCGTTGTGGGCTGCAAACCTACTGAGCCGTATTGACTTGGTCACCCGTTGGACCGGAGTTTGACTCTCCCCTTCTTGCTTAAACTCTGCCGACACACAGCAATGAGCGTGATTAAGCACACATAAGCTGTAATTACAAGCGCTCAGTGAAGCGTTTAAATCTGTGTATTTGTGAGCTGTATGTTTGCAGCCTTTTTTCTGACCTTTAAAGCACTTTGGCATCTTGTCAGAGTAAACAGGGCTGGCCTTTCTGAACTTGGGATCTCTGGGGTTGGGGTCAAAGGGCAGCTTTCTCACATCCTCAATGTCGGGCCACTGGGTGTTTATATGAGTCGTAACCTCTGAAGTTTCTGTGGATTATAAGAGGATTAAAGGATGAGAACTTGTGTTGGTATTCTGCTCATTCCCTCAGAATTTGTCCAATGCTTCTAAAAAAACTGCATAAAATTAAACATATATATATATATATACATTTTAAATAAATAAATAAATAAAATAAAATAAATTCAGAGGGTCAGAAAAAACATATATATTTGACTTGCTTTCGATTGCTGATGTTTTTATGATTGTTTTATATAATTTCTTAGTGTTATTGTTTTGGTTTGTTTTTATTAGTTCTTGCTTGTCATATTTTTTTGTAGCTTGTTTGTTCTATGCACAGCGCTTTGAGAAGCTGCTTATAAAGGCGCTCTATGAAATAAAGTTTTTTATTATCATCATTATTATCATTACACAAGCCAGGTTATTTAATACAGTCGCAGAAGTTGACATTTAAACTGTGGCTTCCATTTTAGCCTACAGTCTGTGTTTTGCCAGAGTAAAATGCAGATTTTGATTCATCACACTACAGGAAAGTTGTCTATGTTTCCTCTATCAGTCTAAATAGTTTTTTATTTACATGTTAAAGTTTTTAGTGTGTAAACAGATGCAGAAACCAACTGTTTTACTGATCATGGTTTTTCATTTGCTCAACCTCTTTGGGATCTTTTTCAATCAAATCATGTCACTGAAATGTTGCTTATTAACCTTGTCTTTGCCAGTTTTGTAATAATGTAATATTCCCTTTTGACTCCATTGCTTATCCAGCCATTTGCTGAACTTGACTAATTCGTTTGAACTTTGGGCAGTGCTAAACTGAGTTGGAAAAAGCTTTTAGATATGTCCTCAGTTGCATCACTGAGCCCTCTGATATAGAATGTGTTATCTTTTATACAATTTGTCTTTTTAACAAAGGTTTTTCTTAACAACAGTAAAAAAAAGGGGGTTATGTAATCCTCACCCTCTTCGTGATCCTCTTCCTCATCGTACACATCCACCTCCAAGAGTCTGATGAGCATCCGAAACAGGATACGTAAAAACTGGAGGTAAGCTCCTGTTTTTCCCACCTAGAGGAAAAGAAAAAACAAAACAAATAAACAAAGAACCCCTTTAGAGATACAATGACCCACGTCCAGGCACTTAAACACAAATAATCATATAGACATGCATCTCGATTGATCTCCAACAGGTTTGAATAAACTAAAAACAGTTTCACATTCAGGTTCACTTCTCTCAGTCTATCATGCAACTTCTTTAGGTTTCTGTGTTTCTCTTCTTCTGTGACACAGTAACTCGCGGGAAGCAGTTTTGTTACCTGTGGAGGTCCGCTGAGCAGCAGGCGGCGTGGATGTGGCACGGGTGGTGCTTCGTAGTCAGCATGATGCTGCCTGGCGACAGTCCACTGGCGGTAATACGTGCTCTGCTCTGCCCCCTGCAGGTGGTGAGTGACCAGGGGCCTGAGCGGACTGCTCCAGGACACGTCCGCGTGGGGCAGCAGCGAGAAGGAGCTCAGCTGACTGCCCGACTCCCCAGAGAGCAGGTTGTAGGCGGCTCGAGACAGGATGACCGTCCGCGGCGCGACCCTGCAGTGCTTGGACGACCGGCCGCAGCCGGTGGACTGGCTGGGTTTTTGGGAAGAGGAGGACGACGTGGAGGGGGAGGAAGATGATGAGCTGCAGTACAGGGATGCGGGCACGTTGGGGGCTTTGGATGGGTTCAGAGAAAGTTGACTCCCCAGGGAGTCGCACTCCTGCTTGAAGGCTTGTGTGAGCGTGCCCACATCTGAGCAGAGGGCCACTTCCGGCTGGGAGACGGAAGTGGAGGGTTTCTGGGAGCAGTCGGCAGCGTCAGATGAACTGACGCCATTCTCGACCAGAGAGCCTGAGTGAGGACACGAAGAGGGTGATATATATAAAAAATTAACATAAACAAAAACAGCCCTGTATTATTTATAAGTACAAAGTGAAACATCTCTAAATCACAACTGAGACAGCAATTATTTCCCACACTAAGTTAAGACCATATCTCCTTTAAATTATTCTCTTTCCAGTATTAAAAAAAAGGCAATTTTACGACTTGTAAACAACCACTACCATGTGCAAGATCTTTCAATTTGATCCAAATGAGTTTGGAAGAGGCATTTGAAGTTTAACCTCTTTCCCATGTTCCTGTGTTCCTAAGAGAGACTCACCAGATGTTCTGGTTGCCGCGCTGCCATTGCTCTGAGGTCTTTCCAGCTCATCTCCATCATTCATACTAGTGGTAACCTTCTCTCCACTTAACGCCCGAGGAGCCACAGCTGCTGCTTTGGGGTCCTGGACTACGCCCCTGGACACATATGTGCAGGCCAGACCCACCTCCTGCTCCAGGGCAGTGCGAGTTAAGTAACTGGAGTCAATCAGACGCAGGTCACTGTATTTGAGAGACCTGGGGGAACACCAATATAAGGAAGGAGAAAGTTAATAATCCAATCAAATTTTATTTTGCATGGATCTTTGTTTATGAGAAAAATAAATTAAGCCAAAAATAAATACCATACAATATACAGAAATGTATTTAAATCAGGATCAAAATTATAAGTGGCTCTGGTTGACAGCTAAGATGTAATTAAGGATGTAAGGTCTGGTTTTAATAAATCAAATGCAAAGGAAAAAGATTTATAATAAAATTGGTGGTAAACATTGTGATTACCTGGGAAAAGTCTCTCCAAGAGGGTCCTTTCCTGTGAGGATGACGATGCACGGCAGCCCTTCCAGATCCTCGTATGTGTGTGGAACCCAGTCTTCGTTCTCACAGCCTCGCCAGGCCTGCAGAACCACACAACACACAGTTTCTACATGCCCTTTTTTCACTTTAGTTGAGGTTCTGATTTTTCATATTTGAGAAACAATGGACTGTTAACAGAATACTAAACATTAAGATCACACTGAGTGTTACTACACCGTAGCTTAATCATATTTCTCTGTTACAAGCGGCTGTTACGTTGCATTAACAATCCAACTTCCAAGGAAAGAAGGAAAGGAAATCTCAGGTGACTTAAGTGCGGCCTAACCTTGAGGCGGTTGATAAAGGTTCTGTGAAGGTTGATCTCAGACGCGGGACTTCCCAGCAGCACCGCAAAGCACAGCTGGAGTCCCAGCTTGTCCCTCACATCCTCCAATCTCTCCCGTGCCAACATGGCGAGCTGCAGGGAGGGAACGCGGACCAGCAGCATGTGGCCTCGGCCCTGGGAGCCCTCATGGTTCGCGGAGTTGATTAGGTTCTCCACCATGGCCAGGGTCTCTGGAGTTATGTGGTCCCTCAGGGATGGGGATGAAGTCAGAGCCATCATGGCCTCCGTGTACTGCTGAATCAGCAGATAGCTGCGGATCACCATGCTATGAAGGTGGGGATGCCTGGAGAGCATGGTGGAAAGTTTGTTATACTCCTCAGGAGTGAAACCAATATTCCAATCACTCAGAAAGTGAAGCCATTTCTCCTTTGTGACAAAAACATACCTCTCCAGTAGAGTGTGCACCATCTTCTCAAACGCATCATCACAGCGCAGGATGGGGCTGGCCACGCCCCACTGCAGTGACCTGCTGTAGTCTCTAAGGCCGAAGTAGACCAAGTCATTGGGACACTGCTCCGTTTGCTGGAAGACAATGATCACAAAATACATGATTGTTGCACCTGATGCTTATGGTGGACGATTATCGCTGGTGTTAAGTGGAGCTGTGTTCACTGAAAGCAGATATTTGAGTTTACAAAGAAATCTAGAGCACTTATAATGAGCTGAAACACAAATCTGACTACAACTTCATAATGCAGTGATGTTAGATGATTTATTTTATTGTCAATAATATATTTCCCAAAACAGAACTTTGGCTTAGGGATTCTTATCAAAATTAATAAATTATAAACATACTAATACTACAATAGTTTACAGTGTCAACTTTTACTTTATTATCAAAAGAAGATAAAAAAGCAACAAATCTGAGAGATATTGTCACACACTTCTCGGACTGACTGTTCTTTTTTTAACTGACTTAAATCACAGTCAATTTGCCTGAACTGCGGAACTGAATGATCTCCTTTCTTTTGTTTGGTCTACTGTGCCCTTTGTGATTTGAGAAACTGCGAGGAAAAACTAAATCTACTTTGCTTCCAGTTCTGAGTACTCTCGTGGCTCTTTTCCTAGATGTCCTTTGGGTCATATAACTCGGTTAGAAGTCTCCCTAAGGAAATTAATGAAAATACAAGACCCATTGTCCACTTGAAAGCCACTTGTCACTAATTGAATATTCCCGTGTTACACTTGATATTTTAGTCCAGCAGGTGGAGCAGCTGAGCCATGCTTATCAAAACCCACAGGAGGAAGTTTCCAATGAATACGTTCAATATGAAATATCAGAATATCAAAATATTGTTTTATATATTGTTTTTCTTACATCTGAATCTAATCGATACACCCAATTGAATAGTACATTATTGAAATCTACCTGTCAATCCATAATACATTGGACAATTTAAAATGAAAAGTACTTACCATGGGTTCATTGGTTGGCCAGTGAATCTCATTGTGGACACTGATGCGGGATTGGCGGGTCTGCAGGGTGTGAGGGAAGCAGCTGACCTGTAGGACTAAGAGGTTCAGGGCATCTAAGACCTCTTGGCAGTTCACTACCCGGTCGGCGAGGCCCTGCATCTCCCCGTGGCACACAGAGCCTGACAGTGCACTGAAAGCCAAATGGAACAAAGAGTTTGAAGGAAGTCATGCATATTTTTAGAGACTGTACTTTCCCATCACAGTTATTCATAACTTTTAACACAGTTAGCAAATTACAGCTTGATTAGAGACACAGTTCATGCGCAAATCTTTTGTGTTTGCTGCTCTTGCTGCCCACTGTGAGGGAGGTCATTCCCAAGATAAATGTTCTGGAAAACAGGAAGTGAGCTCTATTATGTTTTTGGCAGCGAAAACTCAATTTTTCTGGGAATAAACAGAGGATCCTTGTATGAGAAGCAGTTGGAGCCATCTATGAAGAAACACATAGCCATAAATTCCAAAAAGTCGGCATAAAATCTAATTTCACTTCGAAACAAGTAGATCTAAAAATAAAAAAGTACAAATCAGGAATGCTATATTACCTGACCTTCATTTAACTGAAATTCTACATGATGTATTTGTTTTCGCTTATCCACAGCTGTTTTCCTCTTTAATCAAGGACAAGGATGCATTTTGAGTCATAATAACTCATTATTCCCCAAAGAATACCAGGAAAAACTGTGCAAGCCCTCTTAGTTTACCAGGGAATTTTGATATTTTAAGAGTATTCACCTTGTGAGGTCGACGTGTGAGTTGTCATGAATAAGGACAAAAAGGGTGTAGGGGTTCTGTTTGACTTTTTTCATGAAGGCCTCCATCTTGGTGTGAACATCGGTGTCCAGACGCACCACATACTTTTCTGATTTCTGGTTTGCGGTGGAAGCATCTTCATATCCCAGGTCCACAAGCACCCCTAGCCAGACACACAAGGCCGGTTACACTAAAGCTGTTGACATACTTTCATCGCAACTTAAATAAAACAACATTGCAATGAGATTAGTCTTTTTTGCAATCAAATGACCTGTAAACGTGTACCTGATTGTCGGATGCGCTGTGCTGTCTGGTGCACCAGAATGTGGGATGGCGGGACCAGAACGAGAAAGTCCACCTTACAAAAACGACCCAGGTCCAGGTTCTGTGACCCCGAGTCGGCAATGGAGCAAACTTGAGAGAGGAGGTTACGAGCCACACACAGCTGGGACGGGTAGATCTGAAAGACCTTACTTAGAAGATCTGCTGCAGAAGAACGACCACAAGGCATGGGTGGAGTGGTTAAACAAAGATAAAGATACGTTTTAAAAACACACATTTTCAACTACATTATACAGTAGTTGTATAGTGAAGTTTTATGTTGAACTTTGAGATAATCTCCGGGCCTGAAAAACACAACTACCCATGTGTGTAACTTGAAATAACATGACTCTTATCACATATATTTGTGTAACGATAACATTTAGATCCCCTCCTTTGACCTGGACTTAAAAAAAAAAAAGAATTTGCCAGATCCAAGTTAGTCAAACATTTCAGTTTAGTTTAGATAGCCAGTACATTGAAGAGCAGTCCAACCTGTGTCTGAGGGCGGTGACATGCTGGCAGCTTCCTGAGAGTGGATGTGGTCAGTGACATCGACCTGAAAGGGCTGGATGACCTGTCCTTTCCGTCGACGCTGGTATCGCACCAGCTGCTTGTCAAGATTGTCCCCTAGAAACAACCAATCACCATAGTCACATGAAAAGTGCAGCAGCTGTGCACAGACCTGATATACAGCACCCTTCCTACTTGTTTTCAATTTCTGTGTTGACCATGAGCTTATGTAAACTGCTGTTCTTTTTAATATAGCACATTATTCAGTTAAATTTAGAAGACTTTAAATCATTGATCTTAATCTGCTGCTAGCGAGAAAAAAGTAGAAATTAAGCTATTTTCTGCAGTATTCCATATTTTTCTAAGATAATTATTATATATACAACCCATAATATTAATAAAAACAATTATCAGATGTTGCATTTACAGGACCTACCGAGGGAAGTTGTTTTGAAGTGAGACGCCAAGATACCGACTTTCCCAGTGATGAGCTCGTAGCTGATTTCCTTCAGAAACTCGTTGGTTGTCAGCATCCCTTCAGCCAAGGCCCGTGCTTGGTACTTTCCTGTATGAGGAAGATTTATGAGATTCGCTGCACGTCGTTTACATTTATGAACGGGAGTCTGACGGCCAGACACTCACCCAAAACAAGCACGCAGAACTCGTTCCCACTCATTTTCGAGGCGCATATGATGACCACGTAGGTGGGCAAGCTCTGCTGATGTTGAGGGCCCTCGCTGAGAGAACGCAGGGACTCAGAGATGCCCTCCCCTAAAGATGTGTGAGTGACCACCACTTGGACGCTGCCCCCGGAGACGCTGGCCTCCAGACGAGCCAGCCACGGCAGCTGTGACGGAGAGATGGCGGGACTCCCGGGACAGCACAACATGGCTTTCAGAACTATTTGCTCCAGCTCCTCCCTTAGTGGAATCTGCTGTAAACCTGTATGATCATTTTTTTTAAATAGAAAAATAAAATAAATAAATAAAGCATTTGCTGTGTTACCTTGCATTATTCCTCCCTACCATTTTCAGTTATATACCAGCAATCATTCAAATAGCATCACAATAGTGACATGTGTTTAAAGATCGACTGCTTACCTAAACGTGCAAGGTACTGCAAAGTAAGGAGGATCATTGTCTCCACGTTGAGAATCTGGCTACTGTGGAGGCCCAAAGTTTCCAGGTTTTTCTCCGTCAACTTGCTGCTCTTGTAGCAGCTGACCAGCAGGGGGCTCACCACGATGTCGCCGACATTCCCGTAGAAATACGGCAAGGTGCCGTGTCCTGAAAAGAAGAATGCAATTTGACGCATCGGCTTTGTGGTGCGGCGCAGGATACATCGTCATTTATTGAAAGGAATTGATCAGTAGGGCAAAGCTCTGACCGATGAGGATGACGGGGCGAACTCCTGAGCAGGTGAGCAGGTTGTCGGGAATGATGACTGTTTCTCCGGCCGTGATGGGCTGAGGCTGGATGACACCTGCGACTGGAGGCTGAGGTGCGGACACCGTTATCACAGAACCTGGAAGATTATGAAATATGTATTTATATATACAACCTTATAGATCAAATAATATATAACGAGTTGAATTTGAGTCAGGGTGCTGAGGAACAAACCTGCAGAACAAACTATGGGGCGAATCGCTGGAACAGGCACGGCTGTCGGTGGAACTGGCACAAGGGAACTGGAGAGCCAGCCGCGGTGGCGCTTCTTCGGAGGACCAGAATTCATAGCAGATGACACTGGACGGATAATCCAACAAAGGTATTGTCAACATTGAGGAGCAAATTACATTTTTTTATAAAGACAGAGAAAAAAGGGTTCCTACCTGGACTGTCTCCTAGATCTGCAGCACGATACCCCTGACTCTGAGGCCCTAGGGACACCTGGGAAGGGCTCAGTAAGGGAGGGTGCACATCAACACTCAGGCCGTTAGTTTGTCCGTTCACCCTCAGAGCTGTGGGTACTAGAAGCAAACACATATTTCAGCATTTTAGATGCGATGTTGAACACAACATAGACGTGTGCAAGTTCTGTATAAACATCTGAGCTTTCTGTGACAATAAAACATGAAATAAAATAAAGCACTTCAACAAATGTTTAATTATGTTTCAGATCTGCTTCATGCTAATCATCTATCTAGTGTCTATAACCACTCATTCCAAGTGGGCTTGGAATGGAATGGTGCTGGAGCATATCCTAGCTTTGATTGGAATTAACGACACCAATGAACTATGTTTATTTGGATCATGGGAGAGCACATGCAAACTTCCCACAGAAACATTACACCGCCATGCACCTGCGGGCTATGGTCTTATTAACAAATGTAACGTTTACCATTAAATATTTGAATATAGATTGTATGCAGCATAACCAAAATGCATAAGACAATGTATGCGATCTGCAATAGCTTTGCAAATGGCTCTAAGTGCTGCCAAATACTCTTCTCATCACAGCTGACCCATCCCAGCGTTTAAGGAATTTTTGTTGACATGTCCTTTCCTTCGGGAGATTGACCTGAATTTTAGTTCCCTCCCAGCCTCCTGTCTGACATACCCACAGCACGCCTGCTTCCTTTTCCCCAATCAGCTCAACTGACCTCCACAAGAGCCGTGCACTATTCATCCACTCCCCAGAGGTTTCTCTGCATTTCAGCCAAGTGTTTCAGTTTTGCTATTGTCTTGTTTTTAACTTTCTTCTGACCTAATTTTTGCATTTTTTTTGCATTTGCCAATATAGCTCTCACACCTCCTTCCCCCCCACCCCATTTTGGTCAGCATCTGGGTCCTCTTCCCAGGCTTCTGTGGCAATATAAGCTACTTCAGCCTTAGTCAACGTGGTTAACCAAGAGACATCGCCCTCAATCTTCAATTAGGAGAGCTGCTTGCAAACATGAAATAACAAAATGACTGATGAATAGCACATTAAAGTACTCCCAAAGACGGGTAGCTGTCTGCAGACCGGCAATAAATAAAAATGAGTCAGTCCCAACACTGGGTTATTGATTTCCTATGCGTGCT